GAATTTAATAAATATGTCGATTATATGAGGGCGACACAAATGTACGTCATCTTGTCGATAAATATGCAGTTATTTACTCCGGATGCTTTTTATACACATACACGCGACCCAAAACTAGAACTCAAATATCGCGCAATTTCAAAATATTCATCGTTGAATGTGAGAATATGTATTTCAATTCTGCAATCAAATTGAAATTAATTTCCTCATTCACTTCGACACACGTTATTCTCTCGAATTCTCCATTAAACGATTCACAAGCAAATTGTGTCTTTTTGCATTATCTGTTTTTATCTTTAATAGAACGTTATTTAAATAACATTTAAATGTTATTTTTGTTATCTTTCTGTTAAGCACATTCAAGTTCTTAGTACAGTGTACGATTCGGTTATTAATGCTCAACTATATATATAACGTTGATTGTTTATCTTTAATTAACGTGTCCTATTTTCGGCAAGTTGATGTTGTATCTATAACAAGAGAAGATTATAAATTGATGTTTCAAGAAAATAGTCCAATAATATTATTATCAATCATAGTAAAATTACACACTCGAACGGTATAGATATTGTACGAAGTACGATTGATAAGTATCCGAGATAACAAACAGATAGCGAGTATTACATCGTTGGTGTCGTCGATGAGATTTTGTCCTACAAAAGAAAAAAATGTCAAACGGTGATATTATCACGCTCGTAACCCACGTGCGATAATGAGTCAACATTTGACATTTGTTCTTTCGAAGAACGACATTTGTCAACGTAAGGACGACAAAAGTAATGTGATATTATTGTCGCTATCTATACAATATAATTCGGATACTTATCAATCGTTCCACGTAGTGCGCACTGCCCGTTACAACGCCTACGGAAAGGCATTCTGAAGTCAGCGAGTCGTATCGAATCTCATGTTACAGGTGCACATAATTGATTCACTAAATTATGTAGATTTATTCAATTAATCGAATCGCAGTAAGAAAAATAACAAATTGACTGATCTGCATTTATAAAATAATTGTCAGTTTTCTTTTAAAGTGAATTAATTAAAACCTGAAAATTCCATAATAAATTTAATAATATTTAATTATCAATGTAAAATTTGAAATTTTAACTTTTACTTAATTTTATATTTTATAATTTTATACCTTTTAACACAAAATTTCTATTTAAAATTAAAAAAAAAGAAAAACGTAATTTACTTACCGTGATATGATTGTTATGTTATAAAATATATAAAGTATATATAAGTCGTAGAACACATGTTTCATAAGCATTTTAGCTCGTCTAATAATCAATAGTCGCAACGTTTCTGCGATACTCATAAATCTTCCCGCTCTTCCTGTAATATAATCTTTTTGTCAGCGATTTTTACGCTCCCTCGCGCAAGTTGGCAGTAATCCCGAAACACACATCTGACAAATCTGTAATACGTGACTATCCGATGCTAGGACAGAGCGGACGATAAAATTCGAGATGCACAGCTCCTGCACACACATTTTAAGCCGGGCAGTGACGTTACCCAAAGCTCGTCACGTATTAATCTTCTCTTCTGTGTGTTGCGCAATTTCTGCCTTTTCATCGCGAAGCAGGAATATTCAAAACGATCTCTTGTTTTCGTTCCATTCCATTCCAACGTGGATGAAGTCTCGCGCAATTACCGAATTTGCAAAGAATAAACTTACAAATAACAAATGAATTCGAACATTCTGAATTTTAGTTTGAATTTTAGAAAATACCGCGGACTTCAAGATAAAAAATTTAAATAAACTTTAGAAAAAAAAAAAAATATGAAATGCAAAGCAAGTTTAAAACAAATTGTACAATTGGAAAATATATATATAAAAAAACTTTTTTAGATATATTATATATATATATATATTAAATGGAAATTTTTGGATATATTTATTATGGAAATGGAAATTTCTATTTTAATGGAAATTTGGATTTATTATATATATATATATGAAATAAATCCAAATATATCCAAGAAAGGTTTTTTATTTTCCAATTGTACAATTTGTTTTAAACTTGCTTTATATTATATATATTCAAAAAAGTTTTTTTATTTTCCAATTGTACAATTTGTTTTAAACTTGCTTTATATTATATATATTCAAAAAAGTTTTTTTATTTTCCAATTGTACAATTTGTTTTAAACTTTATAAATTATATATATATATATGATTCAATTTTTATTTTAATACAACTTTAAAGTATAAAACTCTTTCACTATTCACTATTGAGACAAGCACGTGTTTTGTGTAAAATCGCATAGAAAACAGAAACGTATCTGTAAAAGTTGAAAAACATTTCTATTGTCGCACAATGTATTCGTGTATTCCAGTTTCTTTCTGCCGGCGAGATTCGGCTTTTTCGTTTTTCCTGGCTTCTTTCGCGAAGTGTGCGCCCATAAATCTCGATTGGAGAACTCGCGGCTCACTTTGTGGTTCTCGTTTTAAAAGGGGCTGCAAACACATACACACGCGCATGTGCTCACGCGCCCTCTACTCGTAAATCCCAATCAGAACTCGCAATTTATAGAGCGGGTTAACGCCGCACGTCTCGCAATTCACTGTCCAAATGAACGCAAATCCGATCATCCCCCGATGCCGAGTAATCGTACGATTTGCTCTTCGATTCGGCATCCCGCGCCATTTTTTCTCGCCGCGACGATCACTTGAAACGAACGACGTTTACACAGACTACAAATTGTATCTCGGGGGTCACAACAAATCCTTGATCTCGAGGAGAGTTTTCGCAGAATTCGCGGATATTTATTTTTTAGTACTTACTAGAAATAATAACAAAACTCATCTTTGCAAATAAAATAAAGAAAAGAAATATGCTGCGTCAAAAATACACAGAAACACAGAAGCGATCGAAAATAAATTGAATACGATAGAAAATACTTATAAAGAAAGAGCACACAAGCCTCCATAAAAATAATTTCACCGTGAAATCGAAGAAACGAATCGGTCTTTAAATTATGTTTCGAAAAAAGTTTCCTCTTTCTGCCTCGTTTTTCTCTCCCGTTCCTATGGAGAAATTATAAAGGTGAGTATCAGAGCGACCTGAAGTAAATCAGGTGGAAACAGAAAATGGCGGTTTACCGGAACTCGCGCTCTCGATCGATCTAAAAACGTTACGTGCGCCGGATCTGGTCGACAGCAACCGCCCGATCGACTTTTAAAATTCTCGACCGCTTTTCAGTCTTATCCTGGCGCATTTTACGACGTGACGGAGTTCGGATGTAGGAAAAATCGTTGTTGAATTTCGGTAAATGGAGTTGTCGTCGATGGGCCCGCGGGACAGCCTCTCGTCTCTCTCTCTCTCTCGAAAGAGAGAGACGCGGGAAACGAGATTTTCAGTGAACACGAATCTACTAAAATACGTATTACGTGTCAACGTATCCGGAAGCTGCAAAAGTGAGCGGTGGTTTTTAATGGAATCGAAAAACGATTTGTAACGACAAATAAAATCATCACTTAAGAGGTCGTCGAATCGCGAGTGTAGAAAAAAAAAAAAAAAAAAAATTGTCGTTCTTAAACGCATCCGTTCGCGCAAGAAGATTGATGAATTTCAAGATGCGACTCAAGATCGAAGTGCATCATTCTCGGAGTTCTTCTCGATTGAAAGAAATTCTGGAAGCTATTATAAAACGCGTTTTCGGTTTTCTCGTGGATTTACATTATTTTTATACAAGCAATTATTTGATCCATTTATTTAATTGTGTGTGAGATCACACGCACGGAAGACGAATTCTTTGAAAGAAAAGAGTAGTTTTGTCTGTTTTTCTTCGGTATAATCGCAAACGAGCGACGATGATGATAAAACACGCGAGACTAAACGTTTGAAATATTCGCACGCTTATCCGTATCGGCTAATATCGCCATAGTTTTCGGTCGGTATTAAATTTTCCAACACGCATTGTTGTTTCTGCGGCCAACTATTCACCGAGCGAACTGCCAAACTTTCTTCGATAACTGATATTCTAATGCGCCATGTTAGCGGTGCCGGTCGGCCGTCAGTCGCGACATTATCGAGAAATGCATCGGACGTTGATCGTCATGTGAGAGAATATTTATTGACTTATTTCTGACTATACAGATATGACTATACGGATTATTAATATCTTCACACTGATGGATTGTTACTTGTCACAAAGTTGTTGCGTGCGAAGATTAAGTGGAGTACACGCGACGTATGATCGATTTTGTATTACACAACGCAGGAAATTTTGATAAATTACATTGCCGTATCCGAAATGTTAAAACACAGAACACGTGATTGTAATATAATTTTGAATCTCTCTTATACGCGTAGTATTTTATTTATTTATTATTATAAAGACTGTTTGTTTGTCGGACACGTTATTTCAAAGTGTATGCAATATTTAAAAATGACAAAATTATTTAAAACGTATGTACATTTTTTTCTATTTTATAAAATACGAATTTTAATATACTCTTTGTAACTTTTAATGGCTTTACTGATCAACTTGCTTAACAATTCCGCTGTTAATGTTTTACAAGTGTTTTTATTTGATTTTTTGCACATGTTACTTCAGATTTTTTTCTTTTTTGATGTTGCATTTCTTATTTACAACACTTCACACCTACTAAACAAAGCGTGTCACTCGTTCTTTTCGCGCGCGCTCGCGTAATTATAACGGAAATTTTTTATAAAGTGTTGTGTCGGACACAACGTACGTAAGAGTGCTAACTGCACTTTGATGTTACTTGCAAACTACAGAAGATACATTGCGCAGGAAAGAGAACCTCATCGTCTTTCTGGCGGAACATGAATTTATGACGTTTTTCATGCGCAATAAGGAACTGGCCCTTTCGAGAGGCGAGAGAGGAGAAAATTTTTAAAGGGGCGACCTGGCGCTAGAAAACAATGGCGCGAGCGACGAGGGTGTTCCTGCGGCAGAAGAGAACGCTATTTTTCTCGTCCCTTTTACATCTGGTCTCTTTCCACTTTCTTCGCATCAAAGCGAGATAAAAGAGCGAACACAAGCGCAAGTGGTACGTCCGCAGTAAATTCTCTCTCTGATCCTCGACCGATCCTCGCGGAAAGAATTATTAAAAGCGAGGACTGCCACCGCACTCCGTGCAGTCCTTTACGCGAGTTCCCATAATGCGTTGTATAAGCAAGAGGACGTGCTTTTTACTAAGCCACTCGTTGTTATAAACATTGTTACAAAAAATTCCATTAATTTAACGTTACGCTTCTTCTGTTTGTTTTGCAAAAATTCCACAAACAAAATTTAATTCTCTCTTTAAGTTTCTTATTAGATTACACGCGCGAAGCTTTTTTTTATTGCATAATTGTGTGAAGGAAAACAAATCTTGCGCACGCGCGCGTATTTTACAAAAAATTATTCGAAGAAATAATAATAAAAAAATATATGCGAAGATTCTCCCACGCGTAAAGAGACGCGAACTATTCGCAGCAATAATTTCTTCCGTAAAATTTATTGTATTTGTTTGCTTCTCTGAATGTTTTCAGGATGTAGGAACGACAAGATTCCCGGTGCACAGGATAGAATGAATCGTCGGGACGACCCGCTGTTACGGCAGCATCATAGCCGTTTGCTGCAATTGGCCGAGGCGACGAACATCAAGCCTGGCCGTGGCAGCGGGAAAAGACGCGGACAGAGACAGTCGCATTTCGGGTCCAGGTCGGTTCGCAGTTTGCAAACTCGCCAGAAATTTGTTTCAGACAATAATTAACAACTAATGAGAGGAGGTCATTGACAGCTACTGCTGCGCGTTATAACTTTGTACAAAATTATTGCTTAGATGTTTTCTTTTTTCTCAAATCACTCGCTAATTCTTTTGAGATTGGAAGATGAACTTTATTTGAACTTTATTTGTTATTAAAATTATTATTTTTGAAACATTAAGTTGTGTTACTTCACAAAGAGTAAGAAACTTCAATAATTGAATTATTTTAATAATTTTACTGTAAAGAAGAGGAAGAGCTTTCTTCGCAAATAAAATTTATCTTCTCTCTGAGTTAAGAAAAGTGATGAATATTTCCGATACAGCGCAATGCTGTTGGTTAAATTTCCCCAAGTGCTAAATTTTATTTGAGAATGCAGAATAATTTATACACATATTCATATTTCTTGATTATTTCATTTTATCTAAATGGTTCCTCACGCTGGTTCCAAGTCGCTTTGTCATGTATAACCGACAACTGTGATCAATTGTCGGAAGTTGGCACTGCGCGTGCATTGTTACAGCAACGGCGGACCCAGTCGCGGCGTGACGCTCCAGGATATCGTGAGAAGCGATCCTGGATACACGCCGAACATCGAGCACTTAGTGTTTCCGGAACGCAAAAGCAGCAATCCGAATTTGGCGGTTGTTGCCGATGGCTCGCCGCCAGCCAAGCCCAAATCGACGAGTTCGGGAAGGTCCAGACTCGCCGAGGTCTTTGCTCGTCATTACGCGCGAGGCTCCTCGCAGGATTCGTCCGTTGCGTCCAGAAAGAATCATGTCAACGTACGTATATATTTGAGATTTATTTATTTATTTATTTAAACTAAAACAGTGAAGTGATTAATAATATTTTGAGAAGAAATAAAAGAATAATATTTAAATTTATTTATTTTATTATAAAAAATAAACGATAAATTTTTAGAAGGCATAAATAAAAAAAAAACATTTAATTTTTTTCTGATATTTTCAAAATTTCTTTTTTTACTACTTATCTTACTCAATTTGTTTTAGTGATCGATATCGGGCGCAGTTTATTTAACGTTATTTATTACGTTTTATAACGAACTCACACATATCTGAAATTTAAAAAAAATATTTTACTGCATATTGTTTTAAAAGACCCATTCATGTGTGTGGTTTCAATTGTTTGCAATACATCGTAAATAAATAAAAGCAGACAGGCAGTTCTAAAATTGGCCGACACGTTATTGGTTCGCGTCGAATAATAAAAGTCAATAAAACGATACGCACGTTCCGATGTTCGGGCGAGCGACAGATCAGTCGACGGGACGAGTTCTCTCCTCTCTCACGCGGGACGTGAATAAAAATACTTTCATCGACATACACACCGCGAAGTTGCGCCAGAGGCGCTCGTACGTGCTTCGCCCGTATTTGGAAGTAGAAACGGCCGCCCGTGAACGGCCGCGCGCGAGTTTAGTCCGCGATCGATGTAACGATAATGGTGCCCCTCGCGAGAGCGAGACCCCCTTAGCGATTGACACAATTTCGTAACGATCGCGGCCGGCGATAATGGCGCTCGCTAACGACTCGCGATTAATAAAAGAATCTAACTGCGAAGAAGAGTAAAACTTGTGAGAAACTATTATAATATAACATTAAGAGAACCGTGTTTTAGAAATTTTCTTCTCATTAAAACTTTTTTCCGGAAAAATCTCGAAAATTCAAACGAGGCGAGTTTTTTTTCAGCAAAAAATCTCACGGAAATTATTTGAATTATATTACATTCATACCATGGCCCCAAAAAAACTTAAATTAAGATAAAAATATTTTCTAAGCTTTTATGCGGATCGTTATTGAAATAATCTTCTTGTTCAACGAGTTAATCGTGTATATATTCGGTGTGAAATTAAACAGATCTCGTTTGTAGTTGCGCTTCGCACACCTTGCGCCGAATTTACTCAAGTTTCGCGGCAAAGGAGTCGGAGTTTGACGTAGTAGCTTCGGCCCACATGTTTTCTTCTGCGCGCCCACGAGGAATGGCCTTGGATTTCGGTTACAGAGCACGTCGCTGGATAGTGGGAGCACGATAGGTCATCAGCCGGGGCCCGCCGGGCCCACGGTGGTGACGCGGAACGCCGGACGCCGCTGGCTGTCGCAGAACTCGCAGTCCTCGAGGCAGCACTCTACCGAGGACGGGGTACGTGGGGGAAGTGTGGGCGTCGGAGGGCCCGTTTCGACCTCGTCCTCGAGTCAGGCCCCTGGTCAGGCCGCGCCACCCGCTTTGCCGCCGCGGCGAGTCAGTCCGGCCGCGGACGCAAGTGAGATCGCCAACGCCGCGGGTCAAATCTCACGTGTCGACAGGTAATGGACAAAATCCGCGTGTTTTCTTTCGATTTTTCTTTCGAGCTTCGTCAAGAAGCAACGTCCTAGTTTTTTTTTTTTTTTTTTTTTTTTTTTTTCAAGGTTCATCAAATCCGAACAGCCAGACAGCGGAAGTGAATTCAGAATAATCGCGCAGTGCTTTCAGCATGATGAGTTTTGAGATGGTAGAACGATAAGGAAAAATTCGGGACGAGACGGAGGCGGTTAGTTTTGCTCCGTGGAACAGTGTTGCGCGCTTCTACGTATATATCAGCGCGGTGGAAGAAGAAGAAGACATTTCGGTACGAAGGAATGGTCTGATCCCCCGCGGAGTTAACGTCCGTATATCGCATCCGACGAAAAACATTTTGTTATCCTTCGCTCGTGTTTACTCTTTCCGCTCCGTGTTATACGCCTAGGCCGTGCTTCGGCGAATCATGTTTACATACGATGTAAGTTTCATGAGGCCCAATGGACCACCACCGCTGGAGGACCACTCTCTTTCCGCGCTACTTCGCGCACTAGGATACTCGTCGTCGCGTCCAACCTGTTTACACGAAGGAATGTAAAATTCATTGAGCACACGCGCCGAATTCACAATAAAGGCTGGGCTCTCGTCCGGGAAAGGAAGAAGAGTGACAACCAACAATGTTCTGCAAAGAACAACTAGAGAGGGTTTTCGAGTATGTCACGTCATAGGACATTAAAACTATCGAACTTTTTAAATCAATTAAAAGAAATTTCGTCAAAAGACGTTTTTTTTTTCTATTCTGCAAATATTTGCAGAAGGAAAATTTTACAATCTGCGATTTTTAATGCGAATTGAAAAGGAGAGAACGCTTATTTCACCTCGCTGCTCTCTGTTCGGTTCGACAGACTGGTCCGATTAAAAAAAGAACGGTTTTATTTAAAACTCACGGCTTCAGAAGGAAGCGAGCGACTTCATCTTATCATGTCGACGAAGAGGTAAATATATAATTTAATCGGGGACAGGATAATTTTGTTCGCGAGCGCGATAGCGACCTCCCGATTCGATCGGCGCTTCGTTTCGTCGACTCCATATGTGGAGCGATATCGACACTTTAGAGGTTATTCGCAGCGAGCAACACTCCCGTAATACTCGCCTCGTCACCTAGTTTCGCCGTACAGACATACGTCTTTAACCCGAATCAATTAACGTCTCCATAAATCATGTCTCTCCGTGAGACATGACAGCTCGCGCATAATTCAATAAATTCTGTATGTCGTGTTTTAATACAATGATTCTCTTTTTTTTTTTTTTTTTTTTTGAGGCTCTCTCGAATTAAATCAAAGCTTCTATAAAATTGTATAACGCAGTTTATGTCTTTCGTTTTTTTTTTTTTTTTTAAGTCGTCCGTTTTGTCTCGTACTTTTTAACGTGCACAATTTTTCTGTATATAAATATTCATTGTCTCACCGTTGAGCACGATATGGATATTGTTAGACGCGAAGGACAGAAGCGAATAAAGATACAACGAGCGCGGGAGAAATGTAGACAAGCAAAAACGAGCGCATCCATCTTACTTGTAGACGTCGGCGTGGGCGAGATACTTCCTGTGCCGACTGTCGCGTAAAATTCTCCGGAGACTCTAAAGTGCACCGCACGAGTCGATTTTCTTTTTGCGATGTAACAAAGCAGAATTCTGGATCATTCGATGATGGCAAATCAAAGGATTAGGAAAAATCGGGATATACGTCGGGGAGTTTGCGCAATTGCGAGAAAAAAAAAAGACTCTTGCAGTTCGATCTGATTTACGATGCATAAAATTATGCGAAAAAATGAAATTACAATATATTTTACATGTGAAATGTATTTTTAATTATATAGATCTTACACTGAGGGAAAAGATTTTTAAAACATATTTTAGGTTTTTAAATATATTTTCTTTTTAATTATATTAATTCTCTCTCTTTTGCTTTTGATTAAGGAAAACTTGTTTATTTTATTTAAGCAAAATATTTAATTTTAAATATTTAAACATGCATATCACATTATTTTATATCTGTGCATGTTTTACATTTAAATATTTTTTATAGAATATACATTATTATTTAATAATTGAAATATATTATTTTTTAAACCTGAAAAATTCAAGTTTTTTTTTAACTAATAAAAAATGTATTCTAGGAAATATTTTATAAGATGAAAATATAAAATATAAATTAAAATATAAAAATGTGTTGGTTACAAATTATATATATGTACATATTTTTATAACCTTGTGCTAAATAAAATTAATAATTCAATGTTTTTTTAACAAATCTTTTGAATACAAGCAGATACGTCGTTAGCACTTGCCTAAATAAATAGTTTTCTTGAATAAAATAAAATTGTTTTGTTTCAAAAGATAATGTTTTCCTCAGTGTATTGGTAACTTATACTTTATATTTAATTTATGTTTATAAATGACGTTTCAACAAAACACTAGGTAAATAACGCAATCTTATATAAATCTCGTAACTTATTCCGCGCTTTCGATATTACTCAACGTACTTCTCGCTAAGACAGAATAAAACTTATGTTTTATAACTCAGCGTGTACACGCTAATCGACTGTCTAAAACTTTTATTTCGAGGATAAGTGCGTTCGCGCGTATCAATAAAAGTTACGTATTATCTTCGGTTCCTGTCGAAGTCCTTGCGAAACTCGAAGGGAGGAAAATTTGTATTGCAGAGGTCCGAACGTGTCGATTCTTCATCTCCGCAACGCGTCGGTGGACCCTTGGGAGGTTGGCTCTCAAGGCTCGTCGTACAGCGTTGGCAGCAACAAGAGTCAGACAGCAGGCGGCAGAGACAAATCCGGCGGGAACGCGCGCGGTTCGTACAGCCGCGGCAGTTCGATACCATCCCTGAAACGTCACGACACATCCACGTCGACCACGTCGAGCCACAAGCAGCACCGTCAAGACAGCCATGGCCAGGTAAGAGCCGCCGGAATTGCACCGCGCCCGTCAAACGTCATCTATAACGTCGCGGCGAGGTTGCATCCCTTGCCTGTTTATCCGCGAAATCGGAGATCGAGCGAAGTCTCGAGAGGATAACTATGAATATATCGTTGCGATAAATATTAATTGACGGTATAAAGCGAGATTGAACTGATTCTCGATCTCAACTCACTTCCGCTCTTGAGCAGAGACGACGAAACATTTAAATCACGATTGAAGCGTTGATCAAAATTCATGGAAACGATTCTATATGTGTTATATATTCGGTAATCAGTTTTTTTATTCCGATCATTACAAGAGAGAAAGGAGGATAAAAAAGGATAAGCGAAAAATAATGACGAAATCGCGCGCGCACAAATTCAACGTAAATATAATGCTATCTTTTCTGGAAATTACCTGAGCTAATCTCGTCATGAAACTCGGTCGTGTTGCTAAAAAAAAGTCAGACTTAAATAGCTTAGCTTTTTTGAATATAACAAGCATTAATGCAAAAACTAGTTCGTCGTATTTGTCAAAAAAAGAAAAAAGAAACTTTGAAAATCAAATAACAGATTTTACGTTTTAATTCTATTTAAAAAGACAAAAATGCACAAAAATAACAAAATTCGCACGATAAAAAAATCTTTTGTACAAAGTCTTAAAATTGTTATTGCGGAGTTGTCTTATACCGACTGTCATATCGACAACTGAACAGAAATTTTTAAACGATATAAACTGAATTGTTTATAAACTCAAAACTGAGAATTTATTTATTCAACACACACACATAATGAGTTTTTGCATGATATACGAAAGTCGAACAATTTTTATACGCGACCTAAAACTAGAATATACCACCAGCACAGCTCACTTTACGAATCTGTGACAAGCGGTAGCAAAGCAAAAAAGAATCTCTCGATTGACATACATTCGAATTATGAATAGTTAAACGTGACACAAAAAGTAACAAAAAAAAAAATTGTAAAACATATCTAAAGGAGTAGAGAGAGAAAAAAAAATCCTTCCGTACAGATTTCCTCGAATTCCCGCCGACGCGAGGCCGTGAATTCCTTCTTGTCGGGCAACAGCGGCACGTCCGGCGAGCTGTTCATCAGCGGCGACTGCAGCCGCGAGTTGTCGCCCGTACGATGGTGCGATCGCGAGGTCGACGGCGTCTATCTCGGCCGTTCTGGCTGGGTTCAGGTGCAACAACGATCTCTGGACGAGAATCGTCGCACGAACTACGACAGCAATTTGGTGACTGCGACCACCGGCACTTTGCCGCTGTCGCGACGGACGGCTGTGAAGTTGGCGGATTATCATTGCAACAGCGAGCCCGGCAAGTGTCCGCAAGATTACTCCCGAACACTAGACTCACAGCGACCGGACTATCTGGCGCTGCATCACAGCCAGGACTTCGATTCCATCACCACTAGCGCTTGCACGTCGCCCCACAGCATACCCGAATCCTTCTCGCCGCCGTCGATCACGCCGATTATCTCGCCGCCGCCGGCGTTCCAGGACGCTGTAGCTGGCAAGAAATCATCGTCCAGACACTTGTCCGGAGGACGTAACAGTTACGGCAGCAAGGCGCCTTTCCTGCCGCGATCGAACGCAATCGTCGACAGCGATATCATCAGTCCGCCACCCTCGCCGCCGCCGCATCAGGTCAACTGGAGCTCCCTGCCGTCCAGGAAGAATTCCGCGATATCGTCCAGATCGAAGAGGCAGAACCACACCAGCCAACAGCAACAGCAACAACAGCAGTATCGCATGGCGCAAGCCAAATCCCTGGAAGACCAGTCGTCCTCCAGACGATCACAGTTCGCGCAAAGATATATTGAGTCGTCCAGCTCGTCATCGTCGTCAATGGGATTCAGAAGTCTCGACAGCTGCGTCACTAAATCTATTATGCCCAGCTTAGCGGAAAATACTGATTCTTCGGTCGAAGGGTACGTGACAGATCGTTAATCGCGATAAATGAGCTTGTTAATTAAAGGCGTTCGTCGATTATAAATAGCCGCACTTAGTCTTGATTAAAGCTATTCCGTAGATTGAAATTAATGTTTGCGATGATTTTTATCTAAGTTATAAACCAATATGTTTGAATATATTTATATATGTATTTTAGTACGTGAGCAAATTAATTTTTGATAGAAAATTCATTTGGTAAAGTTATTGACAAAAAAAAATCAGAAGAATTTTCAAGTTGAAAAATTTATTAATTTTTCAATGATAGATACGACGATGGCGACGAGGATGATAATCCCAGCTCATCCTTAAACCTCAGTCTGGTGTCGTCATCGGCTCTCGCGTTGAACTCGTCCACAGAATCGATCCGCGCCAACGGCGAACGAATTTCTCCCAACAGACAAGGGTAGGCAATATAAAACCGACGCGAATTGTTTTGACAGGACTTTTTAATATATAATAAGTTTTACGTCTAGGAGACTTCACAGAAGCCAGCAAGGACTCCGGAGATCGCCGGGATCCTCCGAGTCCGGGAAGCAGATGTTCTCGCCTTCCTCGTCGTCATCGTCGTCCAGCAGCGAGGGTCGACAGGGACGATCGCCCACGCCTAACCCCTTCAGACGCAGCAACGCTTCGCGACAGCATCAGAGCGCGAGGACCAATCAGATGTCGCCCGATTCTCATCAGTCCCGGGTCAGGAGATCCAGAAGTCTGCAATTGCCGGAGAAGAGATCACCGGGAACGGGCGGACCGCAGAGAGATCATCCCCGGGAGTCGAATGAGGGACACAGAGTGGTCGTGAAGATCGTGAACGATCGAGGAAGCGAGAGGCCGAAGCGCCATGTTCTTCAAAACAGTGAGTATATACACACATTCTTTTGAATATTATATACATTTATGTACTTCCGTACTTTGACAAACTATGTGTACAATATGACACGTTATATATATTTTATTCGAGCATAGATGCTCAAACTTCGTTGTTGTGTGAAGCAACTCTCGTGAACAAACGATGCTCACATCTCGAAAAATTCTTGCAGCGAATTATTTTATCTCATGTAATTTTTCTTAAATATTTAACGTCGAATTGAGAAAACTCACGCAACACTATTTTTGAATTTTTCAAAACATATGGTTACTGCTCTTGTACACGTACACGCAAAACACGTTCGAAACCAATTTAACACGCGAGAATCGAACGAGAAGACGTAATTTCCGAAGAAATCCGCGATTTAAATCAAGCGGAATGAAATTGAAATCAAATTATCTCTTGCAATTTCTTTCTTCTTGTCCATTGTATTCGATCGTTTATTTTTTGTATCTCCAGGAAAAGCTCAATCTACCGACGACACTGTGAACGAGAATCTTCTTCGCGAGACAGAAATGGTGACCGAATACCTGTACGGTACTCGAAGTCGCGTCGTGCCGAGAAGCGCGCTATCGAGTCGCTACGAGCGTCGCGACGAGAATCAAGAACAGAGACGAGGAACTTCCAACACCTACGACGTCTACATTATATCCTCCAAGCAGCAACAGCAGCAACAGCAATTATCAAAAGCATCCAATGCCACGCAGCAGCAGCAGCAGCAACAGGCGCAGCAACAGACGCAGCAACAGACGCAGCAGCAGCAGCAGCAACAACAACAACAACAACAACAACAACAAAGACGACCGCGCACGTTGCAAAGAGGCGCAACGACGCCGAATACGAGCGCTCCAATCGCCAGTCAAGATTTCTGCATCAGTCCGGACACGAAGCTGCGCTGCAACAGCAGCACGTGTGACTTCTGGCCTCATTGTTCTCAAAGAGAGACTCTGTACTCGCCGAATCAGGCGCCACCGGTCTTCATGAAAGTCTCCCAAAGCTATCCGGCTCATCAGAGATTGTCCACTGACGCCGGAAGCCACCGAGGCAGTGCCAGTTCGTCGCCGGCTTCCCTGGAACGGATGGACGATCGAGAACTTCGCGAAAAGGACAACGCGAGAAAGAGGAGCAATCAACAGAACAATTCCAAGTATCAAGAGAGACCCAAAGGTGTCTTGAAGCAAACAAACAGATGGTCACCGCTCGAGGGATCCAATGGAAATGGTTTGTAATAATATTATTTATTATGGTTTGTAATAATATTATTGTTACATATATTATCAAAATATGTTCTACTCAGCGAGAATATAAGTTCTATCAAATACCAATCTCGAACTATTTACAATGTTGCAGAGAATATAAAATTACAATGTGTCGATGCAAACATCAATAAAAGCTTTAATCAAGTAGTTACGATAAACACACATTACAATTGAGATAAATAATAACAATGTCAATTAACGAAAACTTTTTCACTTGTACCAAACAATTTGTAAGCAAAAGAAAAGATTTTTTAATTCATAAACACACAATTTTATTTATGTTTTTACTCGCATGTTTTATTTATGTTTTTACTTGCATATTTTTAAATAACAGGATCCGGAGTGGAGAAGAGAGATCAAATGCACCACCGAGTGTATCGAAAGCCCGATTTTCCGAGTTCGTACGAGAACGCCGACAGCAAGGACAGAAGAGTGTCGCCCATTCAAGGAATGAACGTCAGCAGATCGCCCAGCAGCGGTCCGATCGCCTCCTCGTCGACCACCACCTCGTCGTCGTCGAGCAGCGATATCTGGGTCACCACCTCGGATCGCACGGTGACGAAGAGTCCGCGGAACGCCAAGAGCTCCGGCGCGTCCACGCCGATGGAGGATGCCGTGATCGGCTCGCTGAAGACGCTGATCGAGCCGCCGAAGGACGGCACGCTCTCGAGACCCGGCAGCGCGCCCACCAGAGGCGAGGATTCTCTCACAGCCAACGTCAGTCTGGATCCCCATCAGCGATCTCTATCCCTGCCCAAGTCCTTTCTGACGCACAACACCGAGTGAGTAGACGAATCAACAAGATTTTTTATTTATTATAATAAAAAACAAAATATGGCATTTTTCGCAAAGCGTGGAAAATGTCGCATCACTACGCTCGCTTTCGAGAACGAAGAGAGAAGTTTTCAGAGATAATATCATTTAAAAAGCTATTAAATTTTGTGTTGGAAAATATGCGTTCAAACGTTCATTAAAATTATGAATCTCCGTTTCTTTTAATTTTTTTAAATGAGGATTTTAACATATTATTACACAAGAGAAAACTGCGCGTTCTGGCAATTTTCAAATGGAAATCACCCGAAGCGAATGTGTGTGTGTGTGTGTGTGTGTGTGTTAAGCGATAAAAAGCAAAACGGTGGAGTTCCATTAAAAACAAACATATTAAGACAAAAAGAAATATCCATTAGAAACCATTAAAAACAAACATATTAAAACCAAAGAGTTACAAACAAACACACGCGCTTATACGGTGCACTTTTCGATGATCGCGAGACGACTCGCGTCGCGTCCCGATAAGAGGAACAATCCGAGTACGTGTACATCGCGCGGCAGCCATCGTCGATCGAATGGAACGACGAAAGCAATTTGGTGACAGGTGGCCCGACTGGCGAATGAATTCGCCTTAAATGTGGGTACGCGCTCGCGGCCGCGTTCGTTTAAATCCTGCGGTTAAGTTTACTAGGTTGCCGGGCTACCGTGCCACTCGCGCGCACTTCGATTGCACTGGTAATTGGCTCCCGATCGAAACCCCGTCGGGTATTCCATTATACGTGCTCCGCATGCATATACGCGTGTCGTAGGCGGCACACGGTCTATCTTTCGCGCGCATCCTTGGGATTAGATTTAAGCCCCCGATACGGATGTTACGATCGGAGCGCGCGCTTATTAGCGAGAGCTCCTTAGCTCCTTGAAATCGATATCGTGCCGCACATACACAATTCAATTCTTCACGGGACTGAAATCACGACGATGTGCGATTAAATAAAAAGTGTCAGATTTCTTCTTCATTTTGAATACAAAAAAAACAGTTTCGATGTTTACGTCAAGCTCTGAATATGCGCAATTACTCGGAATTTCATTACTCGGATTTTCGAAATTTGTAAACAAGCATATAAAAAACATAAAAAACAAAAAAAATATATATGAAAAATAAAACACACAAGATAAAATATTAGAATTTCTTCTCTCTCTCTTTTTTTTAATTTGCAATTTTTGAATTAGCTCTCTCTTATTTTTCGAAAAAGTTTTTATGACTTGCGCGCGTGTGTCGAATTTATACAACATATCCGATTTCGCTGCTAAACTAATCGTTTGAATATAAATAAAATACGGATTGTTTTTTTTTTTTTTTTGGTTTTTTAAATTTAAAACTGTTGGAGATAGAAAAAATCTTGGAATTTATATATTCGCGAATGTAAACCGCGACACGGATCTTTCACAAACCATGTCTGATCGACCGACTCGCGCACTATCGAACTTCAAAACTCGACATTATGCGCGTCTAGCTCTTCGAACGTTTTCGAATCCCCGATAGTTAATCCGGTAAGGGTGAAGTTTCTTGCGAAGAGTCCGTGTTGGTTGCGACTCTCTTCTTCTTCTTCTTCTTCTTCTTCTTCTTCTTCTTCTTCTTCTTTCCTTCTTCTTCTTCTTTCCTTCTTCCCGAGTATGAAAAGTTTCGTTTCTGTCGATCTCTTCCCTCTTGCGGAGTTTCCTGCAATGTCGGAAGTCGTGTGCTCACAAGTTTGCTGAAGCGGAAGTCGCGTCGGAGAGAATGTTGGATATAACGTGAAGAGTTTCGGGAGACTACGTATAGTCGAGCCGATGGATATGTGAATTCCATGAAAAGTTCCGACAAATAAGATCAAAAAGTTAAACATTTTAGATTTTTGGTTAAATTATATTATATATATATATATATATATATATATATAATATTCTATCAATTTTTTATTAGTATATATACTTTAAAGTTTTTGCAATAAATATATCTTTTTAATTGTTTTCACACGATTGTAAATATGTTAAAATACTTGATATAAAATATTACAAAATCGATTAAACTTTTTCCTCGTGAAAAAGAATCGTTATTGAACAAATATCACTGTTTTTTAATAAAATAATCGTGCCTACGACTAAAAATTATACAATACGTGTGTGTGGCTTAATTTTTTTTCTGGTCGTAATGTATATTTAACGCGTAAAATATATCGGAAAATATATTGGAAATTATTAATAATTCACATCGAGATCGCAGCGCGTTCCTCTAACAGATCGTTTATTTATATTTGATGAGTGTATAATGTATATAATAGATTGCTATTCATCTATCAAGACTGTAATGACCACGTTCACACGTTGCGCAGATGGCTGCCATAAATATCGTCTAGGAAAAGTGCATTATATATGCGTTTGCGCGTATATACGCACGTGTGTGCGTGTGTGTGTGTGTGTGTGTATGCGCGCGTTTTGTGACATCCAGTAAATCGCGTACAACACAAACTGTACTCGTCGAGTGAAAATATCGATCTTTATCTAGGCCGTCGAATCCGCGCTTCGCGCCGATATATGCGCGCGATGGCCGACATTTATTAAATATATTTATGAAGTGTGTGTTATCTATTGAGAGATATCACATTCCGCTGTTCGCGACGCCATAAAAGTGTCAGCGCTCGATGTATCACGTCAATCCCTTTCTTTGCCGGAGATCCTCTTTCTTAGAACACCCCTTAACCGTTCTTATCTCTCTTTCTTAGAGAGACGACTCGGGTTATTCCCTCGATGAGAACGCAAGCACTGAGCAAAAGACCTCGCGGATCATGAGTGATGGTGGAATTTTTTCGCGAAACGCTTATTTAAGATTATCGACGGTTCTTTCGCTCTTTTTTTGTCATTTATAAAAGATACCTACATGTTTACATATACATAGTGGCTTCAAAAAGTATTGGCACATAATGGCTTGGGGTTGTATTGTCTTATAATGGAGTCTTATAATGGAAGTTTAGCATTTAACGAAGAAATTATAAATGCTCGAATGCATATCGTTGTGTCGCGAGATAATTTACTATAGAGTGCGAGATTAAAAACTTATTTCGTATTAAAAACTTCAAGAGAATTGTGTATTTTTTATAAACGCAAGTGTGCCAATACTTTTTTTTGAGTATAAATTTTTCTTTTTTTTTTAACTTGCTTCAATATTAAGAGTTCTTGAAAAATATATTGCTTCCGTGTATCATAAGATGTTAATGGACATATTTTTTATTAATATATCACTTCACTATATAAAGATATTTTTTTAAATGTGGGTGTGCCATTACGTTTTTTTGGATCCACTGTATATAGAGAGATGTTTTATTTATTTGAGATATAAAAATCAAAAGCATACACACAAGAAATATATTATTTTCAAAATAATTCAAAACAATGTGTGCCATTTACACACTTGTTATACTGTCAGTTCATCAATATTCGAATTTGACGTGCTCAAATGTCTTTATTATTTTCGACTAAAAATATACATTACCGCGTAAAACACATATTTTTTTGCTCTTTTTCAATAATGAAACTTGTTTTAGGCGTTTTTTTTTTCGTTTTTTTTTTTTCGTTCCGTATTTGCCAAGTTCGTCACTGGTCAACGACAGCCAATATCTCACGGTCGGATAAACTCCATTCTCGCTTCTGTAGTGGATTCCTGTAGCGGAACGACGCCTACGTAGTAGTTCGAAAATCCCGTACGTGGGTGAAGAAGCCGTTGGCTTCTCCCGCTCGGCAAAGTTCGATTCCGCGTCATATATCGACGTCAACCGCGCGCCACGCTCCAAGTATTAATCTTCCAAGGATCGTAATTCGCGCGACAGGTGGTCGGTCGAATTTTAAGACATCGACCCTCGCCAATTACAGATGAGAAAATCATTGTCTAATTGTTCCGCGAATCCAACGCGAATTAACGCTTGAATCATTCGACTAGCCTCAAATTTGTAGTTTGTTTCCAAATGTGTTTATCAATGTCTCTCTAGCGAAGATCAAACAGTCTTTTTTTCATTTTTTTCGCATCTTACAGCTTGTCTCTCTCTCTCTCTCTCTCTCTATATATATATATATATATATATAT